TGTGAACAGGACATTATCCTCAAGCTTTGCAAACTGTCAGCTGCATTAAAATAAACATTTACCTTAATAGAACAAGAGTCAGATCAATGTAACGCACAAAAACACGCCGCTAAGCATTCTGGGAAATAGTGCTAAGTGTTAACCTAAAAATTCTAGTTTATTCAACTCTTGGAAGTTTGACAAAATGAATAAAAACTTAACAACTTACTACTTTTACTAACTCAAACATTTAGGTTGTTGTCAAATGTTTTGCAGTGTAATTATGTCCTGAACTGGTAAATTGCTCCAATTTCTCCAGTGTAGGTAAATGTGTGAAACATTAAATCAGTTTTCTGAAATAGACTGAATGCGTCTCTTCCCATTGATCTTAATTAAAATATACAATTCTCATCATTAAAACGTTTTCCACAGTTTACATCAGGACGTCCCTCCAGAGGACATGTCCAATCATTTTATCTGTCTTATCTGTAGTGGAACAAGGACTTGTCACACTGACATGTTCATTTACACAGATGTTTACGTTTTAGAGAAGAATCACGGATTTTGAGAAAGAAACTGGCTTTTACAGGAAATCTGTGTGTTGCTGTTTCTACAAATTGTTTCTTTAGGATGATTCCAGTAAAACTGTAAAAAAAATCTTCTTAAAACATTTATCTGATGTGGTAAATACTACCAACCAGGTGAACCTTGTACATCCTTGAGGACTTGAACTGATGTATTGACACAGAACCTTGAAGGAAATTGGAGTATTTTATAGCCTTTACCCAGCCATGTATTTATAAACTTTGATTTTATGTAAAGAATCGCTCCTTACTACCATAAAGTGCTCCTGTTGTTGAACCGCTGTGCAGGTTGTTCGGCTGCATCTGTACTTTATTTTCCTCTAATAACTCACAGCTTCAGGGAACGAGAGTGCTGCACAATTATTATGTTCCTGCTTCATATTTTTCTGGCCATGCATAAGGAGTATTTCATAAAGCTCTTTAGCAGGAGTGGGCATCGGGGGTTCTGTGCTCTGAATGAATCACAGAATGCTTCCAGTGTTAACATTATCAACCATTTCAAAGGTTCAGTGAAGTTTATGTTCAGAGGCCAAAACAATTCACCCAGGGAATCATCCTGACTTCACTTCCTGCCCCTCTGTCAGACACGTGTCTCCACCATCCTGCATGTGTTTTCTGGAAGCTTCCATATGAACGAGAGTTGAATGAATGTTGATATTTAAAAAAAGCAAACTAATTTTTTTTGTAATTTATTAGGTGTGAAATTGATTGTGCTTTGGTGACCAGCAGAGCAGTGGATAAACTGGAGTTATAGTCAGATGTTATTAAAGTGGCATTTTACTCTAATTTTTCCATTAGGATAATGGAGCGCAGCTCTTTCTGAACATGGATATGAGCAGAGCTGCAGCAGCTGAGACAGAGAGAAGAACAAAGAGCATCTTCACTTCTTAACTCCAGTGTTTTTCTTGATTTTTCTGGTATGGAGGTTTGTATACGGCATTCGGCATACTGTAAAATGTCTACAGAAGTCCTTCAATAAATGTACATATAATGACCTGTAAGACGTTACTTAAAACTAAAATATGAATAACTGTTGCAGATGAAACATCCTTTCAGTCTTTAGCTGTTGTTTTTTGCCTTGCAGGATCTTGCAGGTCAAAGATCCAGGAGGGAAACCAAGACATCCGTCTTTTTATTTCCTCATGGGGATCCAAAGATTAGCCAGTTCTGGTTCTGATCCAGTCAGTCCTTCTTGTGCAACAGGCCTTTTAAAGCTTTGAGGGATTCTGAGCAGAAAAATGGGATTTCTGAGATAAAAAAATGAAAATAAAAATAACCCAGATAAACTTAACTTACCTTAACTAAGCCAGGATTTAGGAGATCTAATAAGAAAATGTGTTTTAAAATAAGTATTTTTATACATTATTATATATTGTAGCTATTGAATTGCATCTGGCCCTTTTTATGTATTTCTGCCCTAACAATCAAACTGTAAAATTCACCCTATTAAATCCAGAACTGTATAAAATCAAATGTGAAATAACATTTTTGCTATCTTAACTCACTTAAGAATTGAAATATTTCAGAAAAAGCAAAGTTGTTTATGAAGAGAGCATTTTTCTGTGTTTATTCGGTGAGAAAAAGGCCAGAAAAGTTGCGGTTGATGAGCTTTTCCATTCCTGCCGTCTCGGCCTCCTCCCCAGCTCCCAGCTCGGCTGATCGGGTTTCTGCTCATCTGCATGAGCCTCTCCAAAGGCCTCTGGTGTCCACAGCCTGCTTGCTAATGAGAGGCAGAGACTGACGATCCGGTTACACACCCTGATCAAGCTTTTACTACAGCCTCACTCCAGCCATCGATTCTCAGTTTGGCCCAACAATCTGCACATATAACCACGGTTTCGTTCACATTACAAACCAAAACTGGAACGACTCTCGTAGTGATGCTCTGCCTTCAACAAACACCTCCAGCTAAGTTTAACATTTGATGCCACCATAGACTGTTAGCTGAACAGACTGGGCCAGCCACACATGGAAAATAGTGTGTGAGGGTTGGGGGGTGTAAATAAATATGAGAAGAGAAGTGATGAAGAATTTGAGACGGCTGCACCCGACGCAGTTTTTCTTTCTTTGTGGTGTATTGATCAGGGAGGGGAGGACCGCGTCTGCTGAGAGTCCGGGGTGTTCAGATTCAAAGATAAAGACATTAAAACATGTTTGGCAAACAGAATCTTGTTCTATCTGAAGATACAAATCTGACAAAACATCAACACTGATGCTAAAAATTAACTTTTCATTTAACTTTTATTTTGCTTAAGTTGTGAACTGAAATGCTGGAAAAATCACTTGTTGAAACTCAAATAGCCAGTAAATGCCTGTCATATTGAAAAATGTCCTAAATTTGGTTGTAGTGCAACATGAAGTCCTTAAATAATACCAGTGAATTTTATAAAAACTGAAACTGGTGCTTTCTTTGCTCCAAACCTTAACAGGGTTGCAATAAGATTAAAGATGCATAAAACCAGTTAAATTGCACAAAGTGAATCATTTCAGTTGTAGTTGTCTTTTAAAGATGAGTATTACTAGAAATAAACTTTTTTGAGTTTTCCCATCACGTTGTAATGTCACAAAAACATACCTGGGGAGTTAAAGGTGCTCGATTTCAACATTTACTTTTAATCTGTCAACCATATTGAGTATGATATTAGCTATCTTTATGCATATCTAGGTCTTATTCTCTTATTCATCTGTTGGTACTTTTCCTCATGTCTGTTAGTTTTTGTGATCGGTATCATCTTTATAAATGTTGCATTGTTGATAGATTAAAAATATATATATTTAAACACATTAAGGAATTAACCTTTCTTAGGCGTTTTTCTTCATTTGCTTAGTTTCATGCTACCTGCTCTGTTATATCATGTCATTAGAGTCTTATTACGAATGAAAAGTGATCATATCTGCTTGTAATTCAGAGCTGACTTTAATTTTGGACTTTCTGAGTAATGGAAAATTATTTTTGGCTAATGAAGAAAATCTCAAAACTGAGAGTGTACAAAAACTCCCTCCTTTCAACAATAGGTAATTTTCACCACTAAGTAGGACAATAGAAACCATAATGACTGGAAATGGTAATTCAAATGATTTGCAACAATAAATCAGAAAAGTTTGTGCTTTCAAACAATATCTAATTTGTTAGGTTTGTTTTTCCTGCCCATTAAGGGCCTGGAATTTCTTTTTAGCCAATATTTAATTGATTCAATCAGTTTACAATCTAAAAATAACAACTAATTAGAGCAGAGAGGATAAAAACCCTTGTAGTTCCTAAAAAATGAGCGGATTATTCGGCCTTTTCAGAAAGGTTTTACAAAGGAGCACAGAGGACAAACTATCATCTTCATGATATACAGTAAGTGCCCATTATGCAGCAGGGCCACATGCCTCTTATGTACCACAAAAAAATAAGATAAAAAAAAAAAGAATTCAAGACCAACTGAAACGGGGTAATTTAGTTGAAATTATGAGTTCATAGAAATGGCTCACTCAACCTTGCAGCGGCTCGACCAAGGCTTCCACTTTCCGAAACAGAAAAATAAAAAAGGACATCCTTTAAAACTAAATGAGGGAAGCAGATTATTGGTATACATGCAGCACTCTAAACTTTAATGTAGCTGCACAAAACTTTTTAAAAATCAAACATTAAGGCCAATAAAAATGCTTAAAACACTGCAGAAATCTTGAAGGAACAAAAGCAGAACCACAGCTGCTTGGGTTGAGCAACACAAGTTTCAATGATGTTCTTTTGTTTTACTCTCAGATTCTGTTAAAGTTGATGCTGGAAACCTAAAAAACTAAATAGATGAACAAATTTGGGAGGAGAAATTAGTGAAACCACCTTTACAGATACACAAGAAACGACAAGGTTGGAGATAAACAGCTCCAGAAAAAGAGATGTTTTAGTATAACATTAAAAGTATGTTTTGTTTTTGAAAAAGTAAATTATGTCCAATCACAAACTTCTTAATTGAACAAAAATAATGTGTAATTCTGGGCTTAATTGTGAAACATATCCACACATATTCATATGAAAGTTGGAAAAATGAATAACTGAGTCTAATGTGGAGCAGTTTAATTTTTTTTAAAAATCCCATAATATTTTATACGCAGTATCTTCACTACATTGTATGGTATATTGTTTCACATCATTGGATTCGGGTGATCCAACCACAACATGGCTGAAGGTCCAGCTGCTTGGCATGTAAGCTGCTTTCTTAGAAGACTAACATTAAGATACCTTTATAATAAAATGGGAAATTTCCTCACAATAAATATATAACAGTGAACTATTATTTATGTTGTAGAGAAGTAAAAATAAATTGGCACTAAGCAGGAGATTGGTTGTTGCTTAACTGTATTGACTCATATGGAAAGTTTGGTGGAGGGAGGATCACAGTGTTGGGCTTAATTCAGGACTTTGACTCTACTCCTTATTTCACATGAAAGGAACTCCTGATGCTGCAGCACACCAAGAGAGTTTGGACATGTTTCGCTCACAGCTTTGCTTAGTCTGAAGATGTTGCATCTCTTTCTAGCCCAGCTGCACAAAGCAAACCCCAAAAAGATGAATCAGCTTGATGTTGAGGAGCTGAAATGTCTGCAAGGATTCCCGACATTAACCAGAAACAACTGCTTCAGGATGAATCACAGGAAAACATGTCTGTCTAATGCACCTAAAAATTGGCAAGACTGAAACAACTCCTGCACATATTATGTCTTAAGCTTCCTGTATATTTAGTATTTATCAGTCATTGAAAGTAATTGCTTTTTGTAATCTATTTATCTTGTGCTATTTTTTCTTTATGTCAGTTTAACTGTTTTATGTTTCTTGTGGTTTTCTGCATATAAGATTTATTTTATCTACACACAGAGTTAAAATACAATTTTAACTAAATTAATTACCATTAAAACAAGAGAAGTGATGAAAAGCTGAAATATGATTCAAGATATTAAAAAAAATAATGTAAGTAGATTAATTTCTGTCAGTTGTGAAACAAAACAAATTTATAGTTCTGCTTATAAAAGCAATTGCTTAATGAATATTTGGCAATAAATCAATTTTCTCAGAACATTTTTGCTCTTTTAATTAAAGGGAAATCATCATTCATGGAACATTTATTACTTTTGTCATAGTTATTGTTAAATCTATCTTTTACACATTGTTGCACATTATTCCATTGCTGTTCTGTTAGTGCGTCAATGCACAGCTAACAAACTGCAGGCAGAAGCAAAACATGGTACATACACAAAAAAAAAAACCTGAGCGATGTGCATTTACCAATTCGTGTCTAAAAGCCTTTCCTTGTACTTGATCCAAAAGAGCTTTTACTCACCCGTTTGTTCTCTTCTTGGACTCCCTCCACCTCTGTCCCCCCGCCGCTCTTCCCTTCATCCTTCATTCCCTTCAATGCTGGGTTTAAATATGAAACTGATTGATTATTGTTTAAGGATCTGACAGGAGTGCAGCCTCTCATAGTCTTCCTGTCCGCATGAGCACAGCCTCTTAATGTGGCCCCTCTCTGCAGATCCTAATGTTATACATGTTGATTTAAAAGAAAACAGGGGGAAAGCACTTAAGAATAGTATCCTTTAGTTTAGTTTATTGATTTATTTCCAACATGAGTTCATACAGAAGTAGGATGGATACAAAGAGGGTTTTAATAAGTAGACTGGACTGGCAGTGGAAGAAATAAATAAAACATATTTAGATCCATTCTGGCTGGAGCTGATGCCCCAAAACAGAAGTCATATACATTTCAATTATTTACATTCACGCAAAATGTTTTTTCCTGAATTAAATCTTTTTCAAGTAAATTATTATTTTGAAAAACAGCAACAATAATGAATTTTGGGAAGTGTAAATGATTTAGAAATCAGTCCTGCAACAACAACAAAAGGGACATTAGAAATAAGAACAATGCAAACCAAACATAAAATAATTAATACAAGATTTTTTAAAAGCTACCGAAGATCAAAATAAATTTTACTCCAACATGCTTGATATAAATATTTCACAATCATCCAATCAAATACAAGTTTATGCAAATTTACTTTCCTAATTTCTAACTTTTTTGTCCCTCAGTGGTTATGCTGTTTTCAAATCAAAATTAAATACAATCCAGATTTCTCTTTCAGTCTCCAGCCCAATGCTTCATAGATCCAGTTTAAAAACTTTACTTTAAATTTAAAACCAATATTTTTACGCTGCTCACAGTAACGTATTTGCAGAAAATGTAAAAATGACACAACTTCTGTCTCATTGTCTGGTAGTAATTATAAGAAATCAATCAGGATTATCAAAGTTTTTACTAGTTTATAAATTCCAGAATAATTAGAAAGAAAACTTAAAATGTGGAAATTTAAGTACTCCTCCTCTGAATTTGAGTCAAACTGTTAGTTTCGAGAGACCGAAGACATGATCAGCTTCGTCTGCTTATCTTTGCCTTTTTATGTTGGTTTCTCTGCCTGTTCATCGTCGTGTTTTAGGTGATTGTGTTCATGCTGTTTCACTGAGTCCTTAAATGGCCCCTCGGGGAAAAATACGTTCTACTGAATGCAATTAAAATACCGACTTTGTTGGCTTTAATATACTTTGTAGTTAATTTGATGCTATTCTTTGTATCGTTTCCACTCGAACTTTAAATTCCTGACTCGTCTGTGGAGATGAAACTCATCTACTTCACATTTGGGATAATGTTCTCAGCTTGGAAACTTCCTCTAGTTTCTTCCAAACGTAGCTGTCTGTGGACATTACAGACAAACACTTCAATTTTTAGCTTAATCAGACCACAGGATGTGCTTCCAGAAATGAAGGTATTTGTCTCCAAGTGCATTTGCAAACTGTTTCTGTTCTTTTTCATGCTGCTTTTGGAGTAATGGCCTCTTCCTCTGAGTGGCCTTTCAGCCCATGTTTTGTTTCACTGTGTGTGTAACGGTTCTCGGTTACCAGCTTCAGCAGATTAAAAGCAAATCACACAAAAAACATCCAAATGTTATCAAAAATGTCTAGAAACACTTTGGAATCTAAGTATTAACAAGTAATGGTTTGAGTTTGTTGACGTTTGAGGAAGAGTACATCTATAGGAGACATTAAGATGATGAAGTCGACACAGCAGGATGTCTGTTCCCTCTGGGTGGATTAACAACCAGTGTATTTATCTTTGACCTGAAGGGGGGCGGAAGCTGATTTGACAGCCAAGTGTTGCATTTAACCCCTGCTGGGTCCATCAGTCAACACAGATCATAAAAACAGTAATCCAGTTAAAAACCCAGAGACATACGAGACCATGCTCATCTGTCAAATGTCCACAGATTTCAAATGAAGACAGGATGAATGTTTCGGCTTGAGGGAAATTAGATTGTTGTTAAATTAATGGTATGGATTATGTTATGGATTGTGGCTTAATGAAAATCACAAACCAAATACTGGATGCAAGAAGTTAAGAGCTTTCTTCACCACATGTGCTGCAACATGTTCCTTTATGTCTGTGGACAAGGAAACAAAGACTTTGTGTGGGCAGTAAACATAATTTCTCTGATTGGTTATTGTTTTATCAAGACTTACTCTGTCTCCCACCTGAATGGAGTGCGACTAAATTTATCCCCCTCTCATTTTACTGAATCTGTTTCTGGAAGGCTGGAGGTGAAAAAGGTTCAAACTCAGGATAATGACAGCGACAGGAGATGGAAAAGAAGTACTTACAGATAAATTATCTTGCCATCAGCTTTACAATTTAGGCTTTTTGCATTCTTCAGTAGTTTTGTTAGTGTTCATTATTGTTTGGTAATTTGTCTTTTGAGACACTTTTGTTCTTTTATAAGGGAGACATTAGACGTAAATTCACCAGGGTTTTTTTTATGCTGTTTAATCTCCTGATAATTAAGAAAACTTTTAGTCAGACAAACAAAACAGCAGTTCCTCAGGAATGTTTCTAAAGTTATCACAACTATTTTTAAAATTATTTTTTAAGTCATCCCACTAGCAGCTGTCACTCCTACTGAAGCATTGATATATAGTAATATGAAAAAGTATTTACTCTCAAACTATTTACACCCCAAAGTTTTCTTCAGTTTTTGCTATTTTCTTTTTCAACAGAAAGGTTTTAAATCAAACAGATTTTTTCTTCCTGAAAAATAATTTTAAAAATAGTTTTCAATTATGATTTTCTTTAGAAAGGAAAAAAAGTTTAAATGACTTCCCTCCCATTTAGGCCTGATGCCAGCATCTCTTCTGAATCGACAACCTAAAATAGCGATAATACATGAGACAAAACTTTGAATGTGATCTGCTGGGCTCTTTCTCGTGTCAAACACAAAGTAACTCTTTCAAACTGACTTTAATCAGAGCTGATGTCCATCGACAGACTTCCAGTTTAAGCTGATCTCTGTGGAGCTGCTGCTGTCCATGGTGCTGGACGCTCAACGTAACCCTGTTATGATCGAACACATAATTATTCAAAGATGCTGCAGTGGAATACTACAACAGCTAACATTTTTTGTTTGTTTGAAGATCTTTCTGCGTTACTGAACAAAGAACCTGGGCTGAAATAAATATTTTAATAAACCATCCATATGGCTACAAAGTTTCATTGTGATTGATTGCTTAGATGTAAAGATCTTCGCTGTTTTCGCCAACTCTCATGTTGCTCCACCGCTCTCTGCTGACTACTGATTGCTGCCACCGCCTACATCAGCTCCTTGTCTGTAGTCAAGCCCTGCCACAGCCTTTCAGCATTCATGTCTGACATCCTGACGGTGTACCTGACCTGTTTTCACCTTTGCATGCTCCCTGACTGCTTTAAGTTTATTTGACAGGGACAGAAACACATCGACAGACAAACTGAACAATACAGCATTAGCAAAAGCTAATTAGCAGCACTTGTTCCTAGATGAGCTTTTGAAAGAGGACATCCAAAAACTAGTAGAAAGTGAAATAATAATTTAAAGTAATGCGACATATGTACACAATCATGCATATAAAACAATGACACAAAAACATTAAGATGGATTTGACTGCCTTTTCTGTCATATTCCTGGAATCACTGTCTCGGATTTTGGATTTGCTCTGCGTCATTCCACTGAACTCTGGATGATAACCTGGTTTCCTCTTGGTGAAACCAGATCGTTGTGGCGGTGAACCAGCTACCAACGTTTTCATGACATCATCCTCAGTCTGCAGCGTACAGATATGTGTAGTGATGATTTTAATGAAGACACTTGACAAAATGTAAGATCTGTTCCTGATTTTCACAACTGTTGACTATAACATGGTTTTATGATGTAAAGCACATTGTTTGGGAAATGTGCTATGAAAATGAACTTGATCGATTGATTGTCCTGTTCTCTTGAAACAATCCCCAGAAAACAGACACTTTTCTCTCTCTGTTTAAACTCCAAGAAATCCAGTCACTGAATGTCTGATTCTCTGAAGAAACCACTTCTGCCAGGAAAACCACCACTTCCTGCCACATTCCTGCCTGACTGTACTGCCAGTCACTCACCATTCTGTCTCTTTTACAGCCTTCTCAGAAAGCCACCCACAAGAAGCAGATTTGTTCCTGTTTACACATTCATGCTGTTGAAAATAAAACATTTTTATTATGTTGGATAAGTTTATGGCTCAACCAAAATGCAGACAGGAAAAGGAAAGAGAAGTGTAAAAACTTACAAACAGATTAAAGAGAAGAGTAACAGGGTGTCATGGATTCAAAATGAAGTGCAGCGTAAGGAGTCAGCAAACAACAGAAGGCTTAAATATACTGAGGAGGGAGTGGAAATGACAAAGAAACCAGAAGAGCTAATTACAGGTGAGTGGAAGCAGCTGGGGAGGAGCAGCTTGGGCCAAATGAGGAGATGATGAACAGCTGGGAGAGACACGCAGAGTAGGAGGCGGAAGGTGAGGTGAAAGACAAACAAGTAAAGAAAATGAAAAGAAAAAATAATCTAAGGAAACAAATCAAAAGTACAAACAATGAGGCTAAATGAATTGATACACAATGGTAAGAAATAATTAAAAAAACAATAAAGAAATAATCAGAACAGAAACACAAAAAGAAAGTTCAAACACTTGTAAATTATGACATTTCAGTGTCCAGAAACAAGAAAACCTAGAATCAGGCCAAATTTCCACTGTTGTGTTATGGAGAAGCTTTCTATAATTTTAATGCATTTCCAATATTTTAATCATTTGATTAAGTTGATAAATATTATTATTATTATTATTGTCTCTGGAACCACTTAGGGCCTTCTCTGAAATCCATGACACATTTCTCTGGCCTTGTAAAACCTTAAGACATATTTATAAATCAGCTAACATGTGTTATAAGTAAATAACCCAACGTAGCCTGGAACACATGGGAGGAACATAAGTACCTTCAGGTAATGTATCCAGCTTTTATTGCATGTTGTTTGCATGTGCTTGTTTTGCATGGTGTGTTGCTTCCCATGCTGTTTTTTCCTTTTTTTTTTTTGCTTCAATCTGCTGAGCTTCAGCCCTCACACACTTTCCCTGTGAATGAGTGCCTTGTCCCTCCATCATATCTGCTGAGCTAAGACTGAGGAAGAAGGAGGCGTAAAAGGAAACGTAATTAAGCCTGCAGATAATTTTGATGACAGCAGCAAAAACGGGGATTCGGCTTATGGTCAGTAATTGTGGTCGGGACACTTTGACCCCTGCTCATGTGCAGAGTGACTAAGAGGGATGAGGGTGGGGCGCAGTGTGTGTCCCGGGGGAGGAAACCAGCTCTGATCATATAGAGAGCATATGTGAGATGGACAGTATAGCTTGTCTCTGCAGCACATTGATAGTTGCAATTGACAGATGGTCAGTGAAGGCATGCAGAGTTCAAATATCAATGTGGAAAGGAGATTTATTGAAATCAAATAAAATATAGAATGAAAGTAAAATTTAGAAGAGGTTTCCAAATGGACTCGTCTCAATTCGTTTTATTTAAAGTGCCAGCTCACTGTAAGGACCCCATAAATAAGTTCATTCCTGGGGATTTAAAAAGGACATTTATGGGTAACCTACGAGTCTCACACAAGTAACCCCGTAATTTTGTCAGTTACTCAGTTTTTAATGCCATTGGTGTCTCATTAGTAATATCCAGCGTTAGGCACACTTGTGCTAATACATTAATGTGCTAATAATGGAGCTAACTTTCTGGTTAGCATGTCAACGTTTTAACTGATTTTAAAACTGTTCATCATACTTAGATTTCACTAAATTGAATTTTCTAAAAACTAAATTCTAAAGTGTTAATTTACTTTGACATTTTGTAAACTTTCAGTTGAATAAAGTTTGACATTGATGTTGACGTTTTGTTTAACAGCTGTTAATTAAAGTAACTTACTACTTAATTACTTAAATAGTAAGGTATCGGGAACCATAATTGTAACATTTGTTCCATTTTCAGCTGCTGCGGTTCGCTTTCACACTGCAAACCAAATCCTTTGAGCAAACTGTTCCCCTCCTCGCCTGTAGTGGCGCTGCACCAATCTCCGCTAAAGGAAGCCACACAGAAACCTCTAAAGAAGACAATGAGCCCAACTTCCTTCTTTTTTTTTGTGCCCAACTTCCTTCACAAAATGTAAACATAAATGGAGTGACGTCAGAGGTTAGCGGTTGTAAAATTTCTCTTTTGTCTGGTTAAAACCACCATCGAGCCATCGACTCTGGTTGTAGTCCACTTCCTGCTTTTGGAGCGGTTTGCGGTCCGCTTGGCATGCAGTCGAACCGCACCAGAGTTAACTTCAACAGAACCGAGACCGAGGTTTGCAGGACTTTTTGGTCCGCATCAGACTTCAATTGCGCAATTTTAAATATTAAGTGATTGAGTAGCCTTTTTATGAAATACTTTTTTTCTTTACTCTTATTTGAGTAAATTCTTGGATGGATACTTTTTACTGTTACTGTTGAGTAAAGACATGTTACAGTAGTGCTACTCTTTCTTGAGTAAAATTTTGGGCTCTCTACCCCAAAAATGCGTTACGGAGAGGGAAAAACATATATAAGTAGCGGAACCAGCCACACTATAAAAAAAGTGTGACTTGAAGTCTGGTATTTCCTGTTTCACTGAAGTTCAGTTCAGGAGTTTTAGTCTGAACTGAACCTGATACGTCATGTTTTCTCTGTTGCTCTTGAATTGTCTCTTCTTTTGTCTTGGTATCGGCTCCTTGTCTTTCTTCTTCTTTGTTTTCAGTTTCTTTCTGTTTTATCGATTCTCTACACTGCTGCCAGTATTTTTTTTAAATCTGCCTTTTCAGTCAACTCTGTGTTGGAGTTCTCCACCTTCACTGGGCCACATTCACTGACAGGTTGAGCTCTGATCAGGTTGGATTGCTTTCTTATAATTTACAGTAGTAAGGCGCTCGTATATCAGGCCTCAGGGCTTCCAGCAAATGAAGTTTGGTGAGCGTGGATTGTATGTGTTCAGTGATTGCACATGATGATAAAGACAGAAGTCTTTCCCTTTTCTTTTTAAGTTTATTTGTATTTCAGCAGCAAGACAGTGCAACGTGCTTTACATCATGAAAACATGAGAACTGAAATGGCATTTTGTCAAGTGCTATCGTTGAAATCATTAATACACATCAAATATGTTATCAATGTTCCTTTTATTGTGGTTCAAAAGCAACTCTAAACAGGTGAGTTTTAGTCTAGATTTAAAGGAACTCAGTGTTTTGGCTGTTTTGTAGTTTTTTGGAAGTTTTTTCCAGATTTGTGGTACATAGAAGCTGAATGCTGCTTCTCCATGTTTGGTTCTGGTTCTGGGCATGCAGAGCTGACCAGAACCAGAAGAGCTGAGAGGTCAGGAAGGTTGATACGTCAAAATGTATTGTGGTGCGAAGCCGTTCAGTGATTCAAAAACCAACTAAAGTATTTTAAAGTCTTTTCTCTGAGCTACAGGGAGCCCGTGTAAGGACTTCAGATCTGGGGTGATGTGCTCCGTCTTCCTGGTTTTAGTCAGAATGCCACCAGCAGCGTTTTGGATCAGCTGCAGATAGAGGATTGATTTTCTTTTTTTTAGGCACTAACTTTTGCAGTAAGCAATGCAACTGGACACATTTCTCCAGATCTTGCTGAGACATTAGTCGTCTAATTCTAGAAATATTCTTCAAGTTACAAAAGGCCGACTTTGTAACTGTCTTTATGTGACTCCGAAGGTTCAGGTCAGAGTCCATCACTACATCCAGATTTCAGGCCTGGTGTCTAGTTTCGAGCTGCAATAACAGAAGCTGAATGCTGACTCTTAATCGTTTCTCTTTAGGTCCAAATGTGTTTCTTGTCGTTAAAGCGGCACTTCCATTTCCACATGCATTAGATCTGTCTGTAATCTGTGGCGGTGAACTCTAAAACAATCAGTGATCATCAGTGCAGAGAGATGCTGCTGCAGGAGGAAGAGCCCTGACTTCTTGGGTCTGCTCACACACCCTCACCTCCCGCCCCTCCCACCTCCTATCACGCTCACCGAGGTGTCTGGTGACTTTGGCCCATGTTAATATGTTGCTCCTCCCTGAATGGCGAAGGAGATGAGGAGAGAGGGAGGTAAAGAGGAGAAGCTCCTGCCCACCACCATCATGTCCCCAGGGGCCTTCAGCCTGCTCGTGTGCCTGCCCCTCCTGCTGCTCAGTACAGCTGTGGCTCCCCATCAAACCCTGACCAGCTGGAGAGCAGTGTGGGGAAGCTCTCCACCACTCTTCATTAACTCTTCATTAGGTGAAACCCTCAGACACCAACTCCTGCTCCCCTCTCAGGCGATACTTCCCTCAAAGAGATGGATGTGGCACCCAGGGCCCTGGCGCTCCTCTCCCCCCTGGTGCTCGCCCTGCTCAGCCTGTCGCCTGCACCCGCCTTGGGAGGATGCCCGTCTGCTTGCCGGTGCTCTTTTGCCATGCTGCAGTGCCTGGAGCCCAATGGGATAAGCAGCATCCCGCCACTGGCGCTACAAGAGAGTGAGAACGTGACGGAAATGTGAGTATGGACTCTTACCTGAGAGAGCATGCAACTACATGATTTAAAGTTATCTTGAAGTTTATTTCTCCTCTCTCTGACTTCTAGTTGGTGCTGAAGTTGCTCAGATTGTCTTAGTTAGATGTCTATGCAACTTTTAGCTGTGATTTGATTCTCATACTTTAGTTTTGAGTTGTTTAAGAAAGAAGAATCTTATTGTTTTGTAGCTTAGTGGATTGATAATGTGTCAGTAACTCTTGGTGAATGATTATGGAAACAGAAGATGATCTACTTTCAGCCAAGAAGAGTAACTTGACATGTTTTTTTTTTTCTTAAGTCAGACTTAAGGTTTACTTTGTGTATTTTTCTCACTAACCAGTAACTTTTTATTGTAGAAAACTCTCATTATTATTCAAAAATCAACTTGCATTTAGAACAGTGCTCCTTTATATCAGACTGGAGGTTAACCTGCATATTAAAAACCAGTATTGTTGTGTTTCCTCAATGTAACATAAACTCTTTGTTACCCAAGATACATGGCTGTGAAGTTTATGCAAGGAAAGTTTGGTTGCATTGACCCGTTTATAGACAAGGTTAATGTGATTAACAGTAAAATAAAAAGTGTAAAACAATTACACTTAAGGTGTTAAATGGAACAATAACATTAAAGTTAAGCATAATTAAGAAGAAAGACATTATAAACTGCAAATTTAACACATAACCAGTTTGAGACATGATGAAAACAACCTGACCCTTGACCTCTATGGGAAAACAGTTCTGTTTTCAGTCCTGACCTGAAGGACTTTCGTCCCTCTGCTGTTGGGACAAACCTGTAGTTACTGATGATTTGCCTGAAGGGTTTTTCAAAGTGTTGCTGTTAGATATTAATGAGATTTCAGCTCTGATTTACCAAAGAAACCCCCCTCTAACTCTGTCAGATTGATCTTAGTATTTCAGAACAGACTTTTCTTTTTATATTACCAATGTGTAACTTTTATCAGGTGTAAATTTGTAAAAATTTGGACTTTTAACAGGAATTATGACAAAATAATGCACTTCATTTGCATTCATAAACAACATATTTGTATTTAAAAGCTATTAAGTTTCTTAAATGAACAAACCACAACTATCTGCATCTTAAAATATGTGATTTGCCAAAACCAAAGAGAATATTTAACATTTCTATTGTTTCAATGTGAATTTGATCTTTGAAGTTTCTAAGCAGAAAAAGGATGATCTCTCATTGTAAAGGCTGGTTTACGTTGATGTCGGTGCATCTTTGCAATCAAACATGTCAGTGTTTCTATAATTACCTGCCTGATGGACAGATTAACCGCAGTGGGAATGTGTTTGAATAAAACCCGGCTAAGATTGGAGACTTTTCGCTCAGCAGCAGCAGCACGTCTGCAGGCAGAAGACTGTTATTTAACGTCTGCTTTTTAAAACTTTGCTTGGAAAAAGCAGCAGAAAGTGACCACCTGTGATTTAGAGAGAGCTGCTGTATTATTAAGCAACCCACCATCAGCTCCAGCATGGAAAACTAAATGTCAGTCTCTGCACCGACACGCTGTTCTCTCTTTGTTCCTGGACCCGGATTGGAGCAATTAGCACTTGTTAAGAAGGAACTACATTTGTGAAACGCTTTTTTCGGCAGAGCAAGTCAATTTGCTGCCAATTTCTTTCACCTATATGCCACTCTCTTCCTCTTTCCTCCTCTCTCTCCTGCCTCGGAGGTATTTCCTTGTATCTGCAGCCCGTTTCGCAGAGCTCAGACTCGACAGTCTCTCTCAGATGTTCAATCAATAAGAGAGCGGGCTACTGTTTACCGAGCTGCTCCAACATGCCAGCAAACAACAACACTTCTGCGTACTGGCAGTGCAGGGAAATAAAGGCGATGCGTGGAACAAACAAGGGCCCATTAGCTGCAAAACAGAGACCGAAATTTATCATACGCAGAGTTGTAAATTCAATTTTGTGAATTGCCAGTCAATGCCCCCACCCAGGAACAATAGATGATATACAACCCACTTGCCTCAATCCAATAAGTAAGGCTGACGGGCGATCCTGGGCCCACCTGCCCTGTAATCACATTACTGCAGCGTGGGTCAATCAAACATGAATATAAACGTTTTGTGTGTGGCAGCTGACGATCAGGGAAGTGGAAACTTGAAACAATGCCACATGTTGAAAGTATAGCAAGCACACTACAGACAGTATCTGTATTCATGTAATCCTTTCATATCTGCCTTCCTCTCTCCACACTTCAGAGTGAGAGAAATGCAGGCTGCACCTTCAGTCAACTTTATTTATAGATCATTTCAAGCAGGGACACATCCCAAAAAAAGAGAATACAGGCAATATCTAAAAAATAACCCAACATTTAAGTGTAACAAGGAAATATTGGCAGCAAAAGCTAGCCTAAAGACAGAAGAAAAATGAACAAATCTACCCTCTGATGTGAACTAATCCACAACAGATTTTAATGATCAGTAACTTAATGCAAAGAAAACAAAAAAGAGGCTTTGCATGTGAAATTAGTGAAAAACTCAGTTCTCCCAAAGCTCCTTTCATGGGGTTTAAGAAAATCTAATCTAACTGATAAAATGCTTTTAATTACCATCAACAGAAACACCTCTATTAAAAACAGGTGTGTTTGAAAAGAAGTGTGTGTGAGCACAATGCCATGATGGGAAGACATCAGCAATGAGATTTAAAAGCCAGTTTTTTGCATTTCAGTATTCCTCAAACTATCTGAAGCTCTGCAGACCTAATTTAGCAAGATAAATATTCAAGTTCATGATAGGACAGTATTGTTCACAATCTAAAGTTGCATTTTTATAAACCAAAAAAAAGAAAAAAACTTATGATGACTTGGACTTATTTGGAAGGCAGGAAACTAAATGCTGAAATTCAAACTAAAGACACAGATTTAAGGGTTTGTACAGGTTTTGGATTGTTGCCTTTATTATTATTATTATTATTATTATTATTATTATTATTATTATTTTCTACATTCCTTATTTCCTGTTTAAATTTGAAGGATCATTTCCCATGTTCAGTTTTTATTGGTTCGCTTCAAGTTCTCGTCCCACTCCAGGTCAGGAGGTCAGACTCAAACCAGGGCCTGTTTCCAAAGGCCGGTTAGAGTTTTACCCTCCTCCTGATCTGCAGCATGTTTCCTTTGTTATCTGGAATAAAACCACTTTACATCTCCAACTCTCTGCTTTCCTCTCAGTAGTTGTGTCGGTGTCCTTGGCAGGAGCTCTGGTAAAGATTCAGTCTGTGTTGTTTAACTCTCTCACTATGAGCTTTATTGAAACATTCTACACTCTGTGCAGTTTCAGTGGGATGAAAAACTGCAGATTTGCTTCATATCTGGGCTTGTTGTTAGCGACTGATGAGTCAGGGAGTTTGTTTTCTTCACCTCTTTGACAATTTGTACTCATATCTTATTGCCAAACTTGATCCTCGTATCTCTTCCCATCTGTGAGCAAAGAATTTTTTAAAAATAATTTCATGAATTAAACAAAAAAATTTATTTCATATGATCAAACCCAAATTATTCAAATCTGACAGTTTTAGGGTTAAAATTATAATCTGGTAATCTGTATGCCTTTGTGTCTTGGTGTTTCTGGGTTTTGATTCTTTGGGGTTGTTGGTTTTTGTCAGTCATTGTGTTCCATATTCAGTCCACTCTTTTAGATTGTGTTTCTTGGTTCTTCCATGGGTTTTTGTTCTCTGAGTATTTGGTTTAGATTGTTCTTTTAGTCTTTTGCTTTTGGTTCATGAGAGCCAGAACCTTCAGCTTTCATCAGCTGCCTGCTCTCCTGTCAGCTGTAACTAGTTAGCAATCAGACTGACCTGTTTTCTATGTGTTTTACCTTTTTGGGTGAGGGGTGTTCTTTTTGCTCTGGACTCTTCTTGTTAGTCTGCAGAGCAGCATTTTGTGTTTTTTGATGAGCTCCAACTCTTTCAGTTTCAAAAACGTCTTTGCCATCACCCTAATGTTTAACTCCCTCCACAGTTTTTCTATCTAATAAATTTTGGGGTCTTCCTGCTGATGCATTATGTTTATTGGAGTCAAATAACTACATTTCCTGATAATAAATGTAAATTATAAGCTGTGAGTACAAAACATTCCCTGATGGAGGAAAATTGAGATATATTGTTACAAAAATGGTTGCAACATTATTTCTGAGACAAATGAAATGACCAAAACTGCAAAGATATGCAACGATGAAGAGGCAGTGTGACCAGAAGTTATTCTCCATCACTGACCTGTTCAAAGACAAATACCGATCTCTTTAGCTGAAAAATAAAGTCAGAAGTCAGTCTTTTGGTTTTTCAGAAAAGCCAAACTAGAACAACAAGAACAAACTTCATCACACTGTTGTATATCAGCGTTGATAGACATGGTGGCACAAGAAAGAAAATTCCCTTACAACACAAATTAATGACCAGAAAAAGCAGCTTGGCACGGTCCTGTTTGTCTCTATGTTAGCACTGTGGCTCTCACAGATCATGTTTAAAAAGCTGATTTAATTAAACTTATTATGTGATCATTTCAACTAATAACTGTTTGACCTCTTGGTGGGACTGATGGAGCATTACAGTTAATTACAAGATTTGAATATTGTAGTTTAATGTGAAAGAAGTAAAATCATTGGAAACCAGCAGCAGAGCACTGTGAATTACACACAACATATTCCAGGATTCATAAACTATTCAGAACAGAAGCACATCAGACATTTTGATGAAATCACCTCAGTTTCCCTGCATTTAGGCCCATCTTATACGTTGTTTTTTTTTTTAAACCCCAAGCTTACATGGAAAGGTGGAAAAAAGTCTGAGGGCAGCTTAATGAAACCTCTAAAGGTGATGCTGAGTTGAGTTGGCTGGATGTTGGGTAAAACGGCAGGATAGATGGTCAGTCCTTACTTCCATAGGGAATGTACAACTGGATATTTTCTTATTCTGTCAGTCTGAAAAGGATTTGCTGATGTTGGAAGTTATTTTTGAGATAATTGTCCAACTTCCAACATCACAACCTGTGTGATGAAGAATGTTGATATTCACCAGATTAGTCCATATCTCAAATAGTTTAAGCAAAAGAGCAAGAAAGAAATACTTTTCTGTTCAAGATTCAACACTGCTCCCCTTCTGAAACCTAAAAGTATTTTATAACAACCTCTTACTTTAAAGTTTTCATGCATATGTTTTCTTCCTCCAACAAGAGTGATGTATTATTTTTCTGCCTGCTCTTTTATACTCTGACCTATTTTCTTCCAAGTCTGAAGTGAACCTTTTCAGTTGTTTGCCCAAACTAGACATTGAACTCAAAAAAGCCTCTTGTGTTGACTGTGTACAGTACTTTGTCCTTCTCAAGAAAATGTAATAATTGCACTTTTTAAGTCTTGTACTTATTTTTTTTTTCCCATTTGCAAAGGGTTCAACCAAACGACAACAAAAGCTTAAGGCCATGAGAAATTGTGTCTTATCTCCATGTTTTCTATCTCCCTCTGTTTTTTCCATTTAATTAGCTACATTGAAAACCAAGCAGGTCTGGAGAACATAACAGAGGCCAACCTTGCTAACTACAAAGAGCTGAAAAATCTGTAAGTAGTATGTTTTATTTTCCAAACTAACAATGAGGGTCAAATTCTGAGTTATGTTCAATTCTCTCAGCTCTGAGAAACCATATAAGCTTTTTATTAAAACTCTGGTTTAATACATTTACTCAGTATCTCTTATATTCACTTAAATACCACAAATGTTGGATGAGGTCAACCAGAATGCTTAGATTGTTGAAGTTCATGTATTATCTTTTCATATTTATTTTTCTCTTCTCAGAACCGTCACATCATGTAAACTGAGGTTCATTTCTGCGAACGCTTTCCAGAACAACCAGAAGCTGCAGTATGTGTAAGTGTCCTCACTGATGATGAAAGATGATGTGCTGCTGTTCTGCTTGTTCAACCCTACTGGTCACCCCTTAAATGTTCACTTTAAGTCTGTCTGCTCTTCTAAAATTATGAACTTAAATTCTGTAATTAAAAAAATGGTTTCTTGATATTTAAGGTTCTCAGACAGATTTCTTTCAGAGCTTCGGTTTTTTCATCCAGGATTATCCAAGTAAAGGGACTAAATGGGAAAACATGTTTTTCATGCATCAGTTTTCTTTCACTTCACTTTGTTCTTATGTAGCTCAGATCTTTCAACTTGATAAACACACAAAAATGGAGAGTTATAAATATGCAGGACACTAATAATCATTAAATAAATAAACAGGTTATTAAGTTGTTGGCTGATAATCTGGAAACTGAGTTTATTTTAACCTACATCAATATTGTCTTCTTTTGTTTTCCTTCTGAGCCGTCTGGCCTCCCATCTTCACTGAAACATATCAGATGAAACCACCAGGTCGGTGTATTCATGAACAGCTGATGCTTATCGGCACCATCTTGTCCTCATCGTTTTACTGAGCGTGTGCAACATGTCCAGTGCTGTTCCTCTGAAAGACAAGCGGGTTTTCAGATGATGGTCGGAAAGGTGCAGGGGAGGGGTTGGGATGCTCAAGAAATTGGAGAAGACATCCACCAGTCACCTTTTACTCGCTCACTTTGGCGGATCATCGACAACTGATGCATAATAAATACACTCCACTAAGGGTCCATTATCACTTAATCAATATTTCACTGTGGGAGAGGGGCCAGCCAGGCTTGGCTGGAAGTGTGGGGGTTTCTGAGATGGATGTATTTCTAAGATTAGGAAGGTCTGAACCTACAAAAACTGAGCTGGTTAAATCATTGTCTCCTTCTGCGCTGATCTACACTCAAACCTCCCAGATTTGGTAACATTTCTGCAGAAAGAGATGGAGCTGCTATTCCCGGCTCCGCTCTCCCCCTGTGGATTGGAGGAGGAATCGAGCCAGTAATGGATAAGCCCCAACGGCTAACCCATCTGACATGAACTTTTGGGAGCAAGGAAAACAAATAATTGAACCCTTGGCCCTGTCACAGTGATTATGTATTGGTTTCCATGCGCGCTCCCCAGTGTGGCTTTCTGTCATCTTCTGAGGGAGGTTTATTTACAGCCTCTCAAAGTCTGAGGATCATTTGAGCTCTGCTGTGATGATATTTAAGTGGCCTGAGAGGATTGACCCAAAAAATATGTGGCATAGTGTCAGTAATAACACCAGAGAGGCACAATAGTAAATGTTTTCTTCATATTAACAAATTATGTATATGCAGGACAAAAAGATGACAATTACTTTAGTGCAAACATTTTATTCCAAGCAGCTGACTTTTCTTTTTATACATTTCAGGTTTTCTGTTGATTTTTCAGTGTTTCTCTTTTTTCTTTTTTTTTCCACTTACAGGAGTCCTTCAAACTTTCCTTTTTAAAGTTTTCAGACTCAAATATGATGTTTCCAAAAGCTCACACTGCAATCTTTGGGCCATTGAAGCACTTGAAGGTGCAAACTAAGGATAAAGTGTTGTATTATATTTTATACTCCAAGAATGAAGATTCAGTAACTGACCCTAAATGTATTTTGGATTTTTTAAGTAAGAAACTAAAAAAAATAATGACTAAACTGTTAAACTGAAAGGTTAGTGCAGGTAACCAGTGAATGAGTTCCTGGTGTCATTTAAAAAAAATATTTTTTAAAGTTTATTATTATGAATGTGGAAAAATAAAAATGTTTAACATTTAAATTTTAATAATATGTTCTGACCCAAAGACCCCAAGCTTGTTTTGTGAAGACAAATTTAATCATGAAAATAATCAGAGAAATTCAGAACTTGAGCTTCTATTATATTGAGGCATAAGAGCTCCTGATAACAGTTTTATCATATTTTTCTAAAGAACATTAGATCTTAAGCTCATTGGACGTTTATAGCAGTTTCATAGAGATAAATATATTACCCATGTTTCTGTCCCATACTTATATTTATAATATATTTATATATTATGACTATAAGAGGAGTTCCAGCATTTATTTTTATCGACTTAAAGCACTGACCATCTTGACAAATGTTGAGCTTTTTTTGTTACAAAAACAGTGATAAGTGTGTTATAACTACAGTAATAAAGACAACTAACCTAATTAGCTTTAAAACAATTTATTTAAAAAAAAAACTGATTTTATGTTTTTTAAAATTTCTAATATGACAAAGAGTCTTGAAGCAAATGTTTTGGCTTTAATTATTAGCATAAATAGCAACACGTTACCATTGCGGCCCTCTACCACCACTTGTTCGCTGTGTTTTATAATAATAAAACATGTTTATTATTGTTAACTCTTTGGTGCAAAAAACTGATTGAAAATCAATTAATTTACTGCATGTTTATGTCTGTTAAGGCTAAGAACGGAAAGCAGCCCTTAAACCATTCAGACTACCAACACAATAGAGACACAATTAAAACTGTCAGATGACTTATTACCCCTCGATAATAACTCAGAAATAGTCCAAATAGTTTGGATGTATTCTTATTTCTTTCCTACTTGTGGAAAGTTTCTGTTTATATCATGGGTTTGTTGTGCCTTTTTATACTAAAGAAAAAGATATAAAACGTCTGATATTTCACAACGAGATATTAACATTGATGGAAAAACCTTACATAACCTTGTATTAAAGCAGAAAGTACGGCGGCCACCGTAAGAAAGGCTTACAGTATCAATTATGCCGCATGAACTGATCAGTAGATTATTGCGAGGGAACGCAGAACCTTTTGCGAGGGAACGCAAAAGAAAAAAATTCCCCATGTCCCCTGGAGGGCTCCGAAGCACTTGCATACTTTTATATGATTCTAGCTTAAAAATTCAGAAATAGGAATAAATTAAATCCTACAAAAACTGATACAAATTTTGAAGGATGAAGAGAATCCCGTCATCCTTCAGTCAATCCTCTACTACAAGTTTTTAGTTTGTAACTCCATGGGAATCACTTAGTTTGAGCTAAATTACTATTTTATGTCAGTTTTATCTTTACTGATTTAACACAACAAATTGACAAGTAAAGTAGTGAGAAGTGATGACTTTACTCCTGTAGTGCCAGCATTATAATTTGGATTAGGTATAAACATTGCTGGCATTTCATTTGTATTCAGAAGTTGAATTTTTATGTTCAAACTCGGAAACAATCAACTGCACTGAGTTCATTGCGTTATTGCTGACATATTTGAGTCATGATAAAAGTTCGAGATGGGCTTTTTTCCAAGCGCAGTTCTGCAGCAGAACAGCGTTACTCTACCAAGAACTGTTTGTGACTGAGGACTAATTACCTAATGCACTGAGCAGTGAGCAGAGGTGTGCTGCGGTGGGCTCATGAGCGCTGGTCCCGGCCGGTGTGAAGTACTTGCCGGGGTAATTGATCAGAACCAATTTGGATGCATTAACGTTTTCCACTGAGTGTAATTCGAAGCAGGTACACATTGTTCTGAAGGTAAGCAATCAGCTCCCAGCTTGACTTGACTCCTACACAGAACCAGAGTTGAAAAAACATGACAGAGCTCGCTCCTTTCATTTTGTCTTCTTGGAAAAATTTATATTTCTTGTGAAACCCACAAGGAAGCAAATGTTGAAAAATTAAAAAGAGGAAACTAAGGGTCTTTCAGTTGATCTTTTTCTTTCGTGTACCTCTTTGAAATGACTGATATGTGCAGGCAGGGTCGTAACTTGCAGCGGTTTTGTAAAAACTTTTGCGTTTTTTCGCTTTGTTTTGCAGGAACTTGGCATCGAACTTTCTGGAGCACATCAGCTGGAGAGTGTTTCATTTTCTGCCTCTGCTCAACCTGTGAGTCATCTTCAAATTCTGCAAAAGTTAAACTGAGCCTGACTCAAGGTGTCAGAAAGAACATTTATTACTTGTGAATGGAAAATTAACTCTACCAAACTACCCATGCCTCTTTTTTAATTTCCCTCCAAACAGTGAGACATTCTTGTAATTTTTAAGGGATTACTGGTTGATGAGGTTGTTTCTTTTGACTTTCTTCCATCCATCCATTTTCCATATCTTCTTATCTGTGCAGCAATACAGGGGAGCTGGTGCCTGTTTCCAGCAGCCTTTGGACCTGAGGCGGGGTTCACCCTGCACAGGTCACCAGTTCATCACAGACATTTGAATCATTAAGTGATAAAAAGGCATCTCACTTCAAATCAGTCTAGTGCATGTTGAAGGTCATGACTTAAATATGCTAACAAAACCATGTCATCTGCAAAAAGACTAAATGAGACACAGAACTTCCCAAACCAGCCACAGCTTGAGATCCTGTCCATGAACACCACAAAAGGCTTGATGATGAAGGGGAATCCTAAAAGAATCCAACCCCACCAACAAGTCAGAGCTCTTGCTTTGGTCATAAAAAAAGAGATGACCTGTAAAATCAAATCTGGCATCCGACTCACAGGACCAGTCCACAAACTCTCTTTAACTGGACAAGCAAACTGCCACGAAAAAGGCAACGTAAAGATCTGAACTATTGGATAAAAGTTGCTTCTGCTGTATCTGAGGTTCAGTCGTCATTTGGAGAATTCTTTGAAACACCTTTGATCAAACAAGTGCAAAGAGAAAATGGTTTCTCATTCAATGGATTATAGTCTATTTCTTTCAGCTGATGAAGGCAGAATGCTCCTTATTAGTTAGACATGAGTCTCTACTTCAAGCGGAAGAACAGCAAATATAAATGGTGGGAGGATGGAGCTGGTGAGTCGGATTGGAGCCTCATTTGAGGTTCTGATTAGGATACTACCTAAATGCCTTATTTAGGTAGTATGTTGGCAGTAAACTCTGGTGGAGACTCAAGTCTTCCTGGAAAGACCTTCAGATCAGTAAACATCTTGGTATTCCCCAGGAGAAACTGGATATGTGGGTGGTTGGATGGATGAGGTTACTGGAAAACATTTAGTTGTTTGAGCTCTTGCTGCACTGAATAATTTAAATCCTTATTTGTCAAATCTGAAGCCACCACCTGTTTGTGTACTTTTATTTTTCAGGATTTTAAGGGACAACCCTCTCATCTGCTCATGTGACCTCTTCTGGCTGCAGCAATGGCAGAACGAGGATCGTGGCGATATCGACAGCCAAATGCTGTTTTGCTTGTCCAACGATGAGGAATTTCCCCTCAGCTCTTTGGTGATCGATAATTGCAGTGAGTTGTGTTTTCATTCTGACGCTTCACATTTCTCTTTGTGGTAATCGCACCATGTGGGAATTATCCTTTGATGGTAGGTTTGATCATCCATCGCTTAAAATCACAAGCCCTGATCCAGTACACTTGAGAATATTAACTATTTGTATTTCAAAACATTTTCCAGTTTACCAGGACAGTGCTAACCCATGCTCATCCTGCTTCCTGTGCTGATCCCAGGTTTGCCTGAGGTGACCATTAACCCACCACAACTGAAGACCAGAGAGGGAGGAAACCTCATGTTCGAATGCCATGTGACGGGAAGTCCCACCCCCAAAGTGATGTGGCAAACAAAAGAACTTGCATCTAACTTTACTGTCCAGGTAGGAAGGATTTTTAGGACTGCTAGCTTTGTTGAATTCAGTTTTGGAGTCAAATCTTGAAGAGAATAACTGGAAGGGAAATGTCATTTTAACCAATTATGATGCAGCTGCTTTTATGTTAGTCAAAAGAAGATTTTTCAGTGCTGCTTTCCAAGCCCTACCACAATAATGCTGCTTCTTAGAGAAGCAATGTTTTCTTTAATTTGTAGCAATCTGTAGAATGCATTTCTGGTCCTATACCAACTTTCAGACTGGCTGCTACAGGTAGCATGTATATCCAGCCTGAAAACTTAGCTTCAGTCTCCCAGCAACCAGCACATCCAGTTCTGGGAGCAACTTGTAGGGTTGTGCTCTTTTTTGCCCTGCTGTAGAAGGGACTTCAGCATATGCTGGACTCCATGTTCAAAGACTTGGGTGCATAATTTATCACCAAGAACATGATAGCTTTTTTATTGCAACTGCATGATGAGATTCTTTATCAGGGGAAGTCAGAGCATTGACCAGCCATGTTGCATTTCTCATCTCTGGTGCCAAGAGCAGTAAAATCACATAGTTGGGGCGCTGCCAACCCATTGTGGGTCTCATGAGGTTGTAGCCCTGGCATGAGGCCAATGTGGCCAGTCCAGTTTTATGCTCTCTGATGTCTAAGCCACACAGATTTGCATGTGCCCTCAAAGAGGCCCAGTGGATCAGCTGCAACCGCTCTTCTTCTGTGCATCACTCTGAACCCTGATGCACAGAATCTATGCTGACAGACTTCTCCAACGTCTCTGCAGAAGTGACATTCAGAGAACTCGTACACGCTATCAGGACTCTAGATCATCCAGAACAGTCCTAATCTGGTCAGAACGGATGTAGCTAATACAAGGTGCAGAAAATATGTTCCCTCAGTGTGAAGCTGATTTCAGAAAATTGCAAAAAAAAAAAAAAACCTTGACTTTGTATTTTAAATCGAATGAGGAATGATGCATTTAGGATCATTTGCTAAAGCTGTTTCTAATAAGATAAGATAAGATAATTGGTCACTCATGGGAGAAAATTGACTTAGAAAAGTGAACAAGGCTGCATGCAGTACAACTAAGACGAAACAACAAAACAATAACTTAAACTTACATTCATAGAAATGTTCAAATTTTAATGAAAAAAAAACAACATTGCTTGAAGTCATGTTTTGGGTCTTAAATCACAGAGGGTGCAGGTTAAAAGTTCAAGATAATTATTAATCAGTAATATTAAAACATGTTATGACTCAAAAAGCGACATTTGTCTTTTGTAATTCAGTTACAGGAAAATGTTTTTATTATAACTTCTTTCTCCTGCTGCTGTCAGAACAAAATTAAATGTTCTCTTGAACAACTTTCCTTTCTCTAAAAGTGACCCATATGTCTTTATGACTCTGTGTCATTTGATTACTGCAGGAGATAATCACGGGCTCCACGTTAACTCTGGTGCTTCTTCTCACCAACGTCTCCTTCAAGGACAACATGCACAACCTGACATGTGAGGCTGAGAACCAAGCTGGGCCCAACGAGGGGATGGTGCAATTGGACATTGAGTGTAAGTGCCTGTGAAATAAAGCGCTGCGCTCCTGAAAGCTCACGAGCTCAATGCAAGTCGACGGCCTTAATGGAGGCGAGGGCGAGAGCACACTGGGATCATTTTGTTGTGCAGGCGGGGTGGACGGTTGTAGAAAAGAGAAATGCACTGCGCTGATTTCTTCTAAATGCCCCCTCTACAAATATGGGTACCTACGCACCATGCTTCTAATGGAGCTCTCTGTCCTCTGCCACTCAAACCGGCGACTGGTGAGAAGTGTTAAAATAATATGAGTGAAGAGCTGCAGGTACAGCTTGGCGTTTAATGTAGGGATCCAATAAGAGGACAAAGGAAGGTGAACTTACCTCATCTTGCTCTTTAAGAACTCCACCACCTTATCTATTCTGCACTTTTAAATTACAGATGGAGCTTGACTCTGAGGGTCTGCTGCTGTTTTCCGCTTTCAGATGCATTAGTGCATCTGGACGGTGAGCAACACCAAGGTGCAACAGCAGCCAGTAGTCCCACAGAAGACAGTCAGGTGCATTAGCAATACATTACTGCAAATACGACCCAAACAATATCATATATCTCCAACTCAATGACACTCATTAGAAAATAAAGCCAAAACGACAGGGGCGCCAATCAGCTGTATGAGCATCAAGGGACAGATAATGAACTTCAGGAAAATGGGGCGGATAACCCGCCCTCAGATCTGATTTAAGCTGGTGCTAATGGACTTTTCCCTCCCAACTCCGGAAAACCGCTTCTTCCACGGTGATTGGCAGTCTGTAAATGCGTTAGTGCCACTAATCCATCAACATGAGGCCCAATGGTGGACAGACACTCGTGAACCGCTGGCCCTTTAATTACTTCTAATTACCTCCCAGAACAGTGGGAGTTTATTGCTGAGTGGCTCCTCGTGCCATTGATTCATGCTACACATGTGGCTTTCTTTTCATAGCATCCCTGCTCTGAATCAGCCAAGTTGCAGCGTCACTTTCATGGAGTTAACACAAACTTACTACGGACACAAATATCATCATTTTAGTGTTTTAATTATATATTCTACATCTTATCAGTTTGGAAGGATTATGCAGCATCTAACTTTCATGATTTTTAAAAAATAAGTTTGATTTAGTTGTAATATATATAAAGAGTTACATTTATGCTTACAGGATCAAATATATGCAAACATCTGCCACAAATGAAACAAATATCCCACAGCAAGTCTCACCAGAGATACATGCTTTTTGTAGCACTGTAAGACTTTCTGATGCTACTCTGGCTGGATATTCAGTCTGAGTGTTTGCCCACCAACAAAGATCTGCCCACCTGGACGAGCTAAATGCCCTCTGGGCAGTTGTTAAGCTACATATTTAGCTTCAAATTAAATATTTAGCTCAGAAGTAAATGTGTCAATAATGTACAAAAATTCACTTGCTGATAAATGGAAGTGTCTTCTCAGAAAAATCTTACAAACCTCTATATAAACTCCTGAAGTGAGCTGGTGTAGTCACTGTTGTATGTTTTAAGATGAAATATTGTAAATGTCGAAAGGAAAAAAAATGGTGATGAAAAGTTGACATGAGCAAAGATTAAAGTGAGTCAGTCGTGCTGTGACAGGAATTTTTCCACAATTAATTGTGGCACATCTAAATTAGCTCAGTGTCTAAATCTGAAATGAGGTGTGACAAGCAGCAGCTAAATTAAATATAATAATAGCCTTTATTTTATCCCCTGTAGCTTAAGATCAGAAGAGACTGCCAGTGATTGATTAGTCAAATATGATAAATAGCAGTAATTTCCACTGCAGTGCAATAAAGGGGCACATGGGCCAGTATCCCCCTTTTAACAGCACTTTCCGGGTCAGAGTTGCAGGTTAAGAGCAGCACAATCTCCAGGGCGAAGTGAAGGGTCTCTGCTTGCGTTCGATCTAAATGGGGCCATTTCCTGTAACTTCTAGTCCAGGAGACATATGCATAGAGCTTCCAGGTAGTTTTTGTGGTTGGGAGCACGACGACGACCAGGATTTATTATTCATGGCAGGTCGTCAAAGGTTTGCAGTTCAGATGGAGAGCATCGATTCATGGAAACTCAGAGGGAACGAACAGTGTGCAACTGTGTTCTGGATGATAAAGTAATGGAAACATTTACAGCTCTGTGCAACTGTTTATCGGTGACTAAATTCCCAAAAAATTGGGAGTTGTCCAAACAGCATCTTTCTTGGAGAAACGGATGAGACAGAAATACTGAGTATCATAAACAAAATGGTGAATAAAAAATCAAAGGATTGGGTAGATATGGATATGAATTTTGTAAAGGAAATTATGTCTTATGTAATTAAACCATTCACCTACATCTGTAATTTGTCATTATCAGGAAAATTTCCAGACGCCATGAAAATAGCAAAGGTAATTCCCATTTACAAAAATGGTGAGAAATGTATGTTTAGTAATTACAGACCGATATCGTTGTTACCACAGTTCTCAAAAATTTTGGAGAAACTATTTGTAAATAGATTAGATACCTTTATAGACAAAAATAATATATTATGTAGCAGTCAATATGGATTTAGAGCCAAAAACTCGACATCAATGGCCCTTATGGAACTGATGGAACAAATAACAACTGCTATTGATCAAAAACAATATTGTGCCAGCATTTATGTCGATTTAAAGAAAGCATTCGACACGATTGACCACAGCATTTTACTCAAAAAACTTATTAAATACGGAATTAGAAGGCCGGCATTACACACTTGGTCTATTGTGTTGAGGTATGGGGAAAGGCATGTTTTACTAGCATAAAATCGGTTTTTGTTTTGCAAAAAAGGGCAATAAGAATTATTGCTCGAAAACATGGCAAATATTCAACAAATACATTATTTTGTAATTTGAGGTTATTGAAATTCTATGATTTAGTTGATTATAATATTTTGTTGGTTATGTATAAGGCACACCTAAAAACATTACCCTTAAACATCCAAAAAAAATTTGAAAAGAGAGAGAGTAGTTATAATCTTAAGGGGACACAGATTTTTAAGAAACCCAAATTCAGAACTAGTTTGAAAGAACGATGTACTTCGATACAAGGAGTCAAACTGTGGAACGACCTACAAAACGATGTTAAAAATGCTAAATCACTACCCATGTTTAAAAGAAAGTTAAAGATTGGTTTTTTGAAGAAGTATGAAATAGTATAAAGTCAGAGTATAGTATCGTTCAGTTGAGATTGATGACTGACCTTGTTTCTTTTGTTCTTCCTTTGTTTTCTTTTTCTGTCACATAAGACAAATCAATTTTTTTTTTTGTTTTGATTCAGAGTTGAGAAAAAGGGGCAGATACTATAAGATTATTTTCTTCTTTCTGCTACCTTTCATTTCATTTTTTTCAAATACATATGTAGTATGTTTGTAAGTGTGTATATTTGTGAAATGTATACACATGGATATGTAGGTATGTATGTATGGAGGTGTATTTTTTTTAAAAAAAATTTGTATATTAAAAACTGTTAGGATGTTTTTTTTTTCTTTTTTTCTTTGTATTGAATGAAATGAATAATTAAAAAAAAAATTGCAGCAGATGAAAAGTATTGGAAAGCTATATCTGGAAACCTGAATCAGGACGAACTCAACAAGATTTCAACTGTGTTTTTTAACTTTAAAATTGAGTAATAATCCATATATTTTGAAAAATAAAAGTGTATTTGTGACGTTTTTTTGCAACAATCTGCCTCAAGATGAAATTCAAATTTTTGTGTAATGTCACCATAAACAAACTGACATCCGGGATTGATATTAAGCTCAGTAAACTATTTGATTTCAGGCATTTGGAAGGACACTCATGCTGACTTTTAATACATTTTACTGTGTTGTTCTCCAGTTAGTTTAGCTTTACAATTCACTTTCCGCCCTATTCATGTTTCAATATTTTTCTGTCCAATGTAACTTTAAATTAATTGCAGAAAAGTTGCATATTTGCATTTGATTGGCTGTAAACGAAGACTACATGTTGTCCAGACCTGTAGGTGGCGGTAGTGCTACTTCCCATTTTTGGCCAACTGCCAATAAATATCAGGAAGAAGACTGTACATTATCTTCCTGCTAAGACTGTTTCCACAGTCTTAATTCATACAAATGGCGGTTGAACTATAAGAACAGGAGTTTTATTGAGCGTCTCTTTGCTTAACAAAACTCTGAAAACTCTGAAAATCTAAAATAAACTTGCACCAGCTGAAGAGCCAGAACATTTTAAGTCCAAATATAACCATGAAATCTGGAAAAGTGTTGATCAAATTATTTCAAAATGACTTAAAATACAACGAGTGTATAAAAGTAAAATTTATTTCTGTCTCCTACCTCATCTGAACCTGCAGTTCCAGCCAAAATCATCTTCTTCAAGGACGCCGTGAAGCACCACAACTGGTGCTTCCCGTTCGTCGTGGACGGGAATCCTGAACCGTACATCTCCTGGTTCTTCAATGGAGAACCGTACAAAAACAACAAAAACTTCATCTTCATACAGTTCATCACGGACTCGAACGACGGGTCAGTGAAGCATGGCTGCCTAACCTTAGACAAGCCGACCCACATGAACAACGGAAACTACACTCTGGTTGCGGTGAACAAGCTCGGAGGGGAAAATGCCACGGTTTTCGGGATGTTTATGGAAAATCCTTTTGATCAAGGTGATCCAGAGGGGATCATTATTGGTGAGTTCCTGTAAAAACAGTGTGACTGATGATCGATCTGAACTAACAGCTGTATTAGAGTCAAACAAAAACTAGATAATCGGGATCACATATAGATTTGCTTTAATCTTGTGCCTCCAACTATAACACCATTTATTGAGTTTTTTTTTTTTGGTCTACCAATCTAAGTTTATTTTGCATTAAATATGTTTTATATTCTCTTGCATCCCTCATGCTAGTCTCTAATGGGTATCCAAGTAAGTTCTCAACTGACTATGACTCCTTAAAGTTTCTGTATATCTTCTCAGTACTAACTTCCAGTGTATTTTATCTCTCAGGTCCATCAAACAAACCGGTTGTGGACATTACAGAGAATTCAGGGAGTCGGGTGTTTGTGGTACGTGTCACCATCATGTTCGCTGAGAACATAAGAGTCTTTTTAGATTTGGACCAGGCCAGTTTATTTTGTGTAACTTGTGTATTTGGCAGGTCTCTGTTGCTGTGGGCCTCGCTGTCTTCACCTGCATCTTTCTGCTCATCACAGTTTTGATCATTAACAAGTGCGGTCAGCAAACCAAGTTTGGTATTCACCGTAAGTGGGTTCTTTAAATTGCAAGGCAGTAAAAACCACATGTTGACACCTTAAAGGGGATCTGTTGTGCAAAATTCACATTATGTACTTCCATTTGTTTCTCTTCTAAAACAGCCCAAAGCACATAAAAATACACAGCCATTTTTAAAACATATTTTTTTTTTTTACAATAAGTCAATGTTATAATTTCCTGAAATGCATAATTCATAAATTCAATGTTTAATTTTTGATCAGTGAACAGATTTATGAAATTTTGTTAGACATAAAAAAGTCTCGTTCTGTTGCCATTAAATTTGTTCTCGTTCTTCAAAGTTAAAATTTTTCCTCAAGTTTTTTTCTCAGAGTTTTCACAAAGCTACAGTTTGGAATCAGAGATGGTTGTGTTTTTTGGGACATAATGGACTAATACAGCCTTGCACTGTGATGTAACTTTGCACACAGGCAGCTGCTGTTTGTTTGTTGGGCAAAGTGCCTTAATTACAGCGTAGACCTCCGCTGCCCACCGCCACGTGGTGAGAGCCATTAAAAACGATGGATGGACGGATTGATGGATGGATGGATCGAGGAAAAGCTAGCTCCGTGTGGACACCCCGCCCTTTTCTCTCCTCACTCAGAGCTCCTAAGTGTGCCTGATTGCCTAAGTGGACCGTGCTCCCTCTTTCCTTCCCTCCATCTCCTCTGGGCTCCCTCGTTGTTGTTCCATTTTCTTCTGTTTTGGACTCTGGGGGTTCTGTGGTTTGCCTTGCTGAGTGGATTTCACAATTTGGGTCCCACTTGTTTGGCTTTTAATACTTTGCCATAGTCAGGTGTTGCTAACCATCCAGGCTTCCTGTATGGTCATTTTTCCCCCAGTTCAATGTGGCCTGATTGCTGCATGGTTGATGATGGTGATTATTAGAGCTTGTCATCATCTGTCACCATGGCACCAACAATTGGGCTGCCAAGTTGGTAGTGGAGTATGTTTGTCCTTCAGAAGGGAAAAATTGGGCCAGAATTGCTTCTTTTGTTGGCTGCTGCAATCAAAAGAGGTTGGAGACTGATTAGGTGTCATGTATCCGCAGCCATGCTTGTCTCTTGTGTTTCATTAGGCTCATCAGTTCTCGGTAAGGAGGATGACCTGGCCGTCTCACTCCGCTTCATGAATTTCGGGACCAGCCCGCCTTCCTCCGACGAAGACTCTGGTTTATCAAGTTTTGTGGAGAACCCACAGTACTTCTGTGGCATCATCAAGGACAAAGACATGTGTAAGTGCCAGTGCGATTTATGCTCAATAACTATTAAATACATCCGCTCTTATTAGAACTCTGTTTAATTCATTAGTAAATAGTTTCTGAGATAAGTAGCTTAGATGGATTCTCAAGGTGTGTTTTTGTCTCGCTGTGTGAGCACTCTCAATGCAATCTGCTTATACTTCAGAAGAAGTAATGAGTCAAAATGTTGAAAAATAAATCCCTCTTAGACTTGAAACGAAAAAACATCCAGATCTATTTTACTCACGATGTCCTTAGTTAGCATTTTGTCCAAGTTAGTTATCAGATCTAAAAATGTGTTTAGGGTGGTGATTAGCAGCCATATGTGAGTGAAATAATGAAGTGGACATAAATTTGATCAACCCAGGAGCTGGAGAGCTCGCCCAAGTGACTGGGCAGAGAGACGCTGGACCTCTCTGCTGAGACTGCTGCCTGTTCAGTACTACTAATATTTAGTTCACAAACTAAATATTTAACTGCTAGCATATTTGGTAAATATTTACCAAATATGCAAATTCACATACCAATAACCAGAATTCACTATCAAAATAAGAGCTGGGTCTTGTGAACCTCTACATAAACGTCTGTGTTGCCATTTAAGCAGCTCATCCTACATTTTAAACTGAGATGTTGTAATTGTTGAGAGGAAAAGAAACAATGATGAAGTGAATCAGTCACAGTAGCAGGAGTTTAATTAAAGATTCGCAAGACCCAACTTTTACTTTGGTAGTCCACTTTTGGTTATTGGCAAGTTATTTTTGCATATCAACTAAATATTTAGCTAGCCAACTAAATATTTATTTTGAGGCTAAATATTTAGTTTGCTAACTAAATACTTAGCTATAACCTAGATATTTAGCTTGCTATGTTATTAATTATTATTCCTGTAACTAGATATGTTAGTTGCCTGTGGTATGTTTTAACATGTTTTAACTTGGACTGGGTGTGAAACACCGGACCTGTCTGCTTCAGTGGTAACATTTGGCTTCCTCAGGATCGGATAGGAAATCCAACGTGGCATGACCCTAAGCTGCTCAAAAGCCCTACAGTGTTATTGACTTGAAACAATTTTGCAAAGAAGAGTAGATAAAAAAAATAATCCATAATTTCCAGATCTCAGAAATGCTTGAAGGACGTTGTGGCATAAACGTTCAAGTTATTCACACAGGACTGGGTTGGTTTGGATCAGTTTTTATCCCCTAAATTAAATCATCAATTGTAAACAAATTTATTTATCTTCATCTAATATTAAAATTAATTTCATAATCTGAAACATCTGAAGATGATAAACATATAACAACAGTTAGGGGATACATCGGTACTTTTTCCCTGTGAGGATAAGGAAGTTTGAAAACATTCGGACAGATCAGCTCCAGGCTTTAGCCAGAGTGTAGCTCATGAAAACTTGCTTTGGCTTGGATCAACAGATCTCAGCAACGGTTCCCTCACAGCTGTGTCTCTTTCTTGTTGTTGCAGGTGTGCAGCACATTAAGCGGCAGGACATTGTGTTGAAGTGGGAGCTAGGTGAAGGAGCGTTCGGCAAAGTCTACCTGGCAGAGTGTGCGAACCTCAGCCCCGACAGCGACAAGATGCTGGTTGCCATTAAGGTGAGGAAATCTCAGATCGTCCCCTACGCCGCTTCAGAGGCAATTTAACAGCTAATGTGCTCTAAACATCTGCAGCAGCAGTGAAAATGTCAGCCGTTAGTATGTGGTCCGAGCAGAGGAGCCGCCGGTAAACAGGCTGTTTGTGGTAAAGAAAACAGAAAGTTTCTTTTCCTGCTGCAACAAAGTTACAGTTGGTGTTCAGAAGTCCTGATTCTTCTCTAAATGGTTCAGAGGATTGTTGAAGCAAAAGTGCAGTTGTTTTCTTCCAGACCTGAAAGAAAATACATGGAAGCTTTTTTTATGACTTTTTAATAAATTGATTAAAATGTCTAGCAATTTCTTAGCAGTAATCCATCTTTTCCAGTTTTCCTGGAGTATAAATGTGACGCTACCTAACGGCTCGTTTCTGTTAGCTTCTCTGAAATAGCCACGAGATAAAAGCTCCTCACCTGAATGTCTTCATGTTCACAGTCAGGACATTAGTTAACAAGTTTATACTGCCTTACGTGAATTTTGAGCAAACTTTTTTTTTTAAAGTCATCATGCATTTTAGAACATTTTGAACAAAAGTTCCCAATTCCAGTTGAGACTGGATAACTTAGCAATAATAAATTCATAAATTAGTCTTATCTTGCTTTATTTATGTCTCTTCATATATGTAGATAAGTACATAACTTATCTTCTTTAGGTACTGACAAATAAATAAAATAATACCCAGTAAAAGTCGACTTTACTTCTTCTTTTAAAGCTGTTTCCTGCTCCAGTGCATTGCTGGAATAATACTTCGTGGTTTTAGAGTGAGCCTTCGTTGTTAAAAGGCTGTCAGGTGGTTTTATACCCAGCTCATGTTACACCAGGTTAATGAAAACCACAGAGGGAAAAATTTATACAAGGAGATGATTGAATACGCATCTGCTCTCATTTATCAGTGCATTAATCACACATCAGCTCTTACAATACGCTGTTACTCACCTTCGCCAAGGCGTTGAAAGGCGTCATTCTGGGAGTGTTCCCTTAACGTTCAGACTGCATTTCTTCCTATAAGACAAATCTTTTAACTACTTTAAAAAAATATTTAATTATTTTATTAAGAGCTTTCTTGGCTCAGAAACAGGACAAGTTATGGTGAAAAACAGTACAAGGAACAGAAGCTAATTAAATTTAAATAAGTTCATTTCAACAAATCGTATCAAAATAAGTCAAGCAGTGGTGAAATTGAAATATGTTAGTTTCCCACCAGTTCTGACAAATTTTCAGCAGAATTTAAACTTTCTTAGTTTCTTTTATTAATTCCCAATCATTTTTGCTGATGATCAGGTAATAAAGTGAAGGTGTTCCAGTAATAAAGCCCTGAGGAATCCCAAAGTAAAACAAGTCAAAACAGTAAATATTCTCCAGAGCTGTTTACCCTCCTGAGCTTTCAAACACTGGGCATTGTGTTGCTAATTTATTTTATTTTTTCTTTAGACTTCCTTTGGTCTGATGCCTTAAAACCCCATCACTGATTTGTGGCATGTTCTTACACATTTCTATTATAATTTCACTGAAAAATTATAATTTTCAAGTTAGCTTGCAGCGTTTTAAATACATAGTTTAATCCTAAAATAGGTATTATTCATACTAAATGTGATAGAAGCAGTGTATTTATTTATCTTTCTCATAACTGAATTCACAAAAGTCAGCTTATCTTCCAATGACCTTGTAATAAGTGTATTTATTTTCTGTGACAATTCATTCAGACATTGCACAAAAACATAAAGGAAAAATGCTTAAACTAACCTTTTAAATGATCTTAAACATAAACACATTCGCAGGCTCGTGTTATTTAATTGTATTTGAAAAAACACCCTCAAAAAATGATCCTATAAGTGCAAAAGGTCAAGTAATACTATGATGTAACAGAAAGCGTCTTATTTTGGTTGTTCACAGACTCTGAAGGATGCCAACGAGTCGACGCGGCAGGACTTCCAGCGGGAGGCCGAGCTGCTGACGGTCCTGCAGCATCAACACATCGTGCGTTTCTACGGCGTGTGCACAGACGGCGAGCCGCTGGCCATGGTGTTTGAGTACATGAGACACGGAGACCTCAACCGCTTCCTTCGGTAAGGCCACACATCCCGCCTCTGCAGTGGGCCGCCGAGTCTCCGCCGCCCAAACTGTTGGTCCTCATGCTGCTTAATGTTAGACCCCTAAAAGTACTGGATGAAAGGCAGCAGCAACGCCTTCATGGCAAATGTGTCAGAGAGGGAAAAGCACAGTAGGAACGTTTCCCAGCAGTAAGTCTGCTCTCACAATACAGGAGCCTGAATCTGAAGCAGCTAAGTGGAACACAGCCATCATGCCTTTCATCATGTACAGTAAGGCTGAGCGGATTGGTGGAATAATAATGCTGCTAAATGAATGAAGAAGAAATTAGTCCCCTAACTGTAATCTTTAGGAAAAAAGCTCAAAAGAATTTTCTGTGGCTGAGGTTGAATGTTTTCTGTCTGATCAATGGACGTTTTCACACAAAACATAACTAATACACTCATCGTGGATCATTTGGTCCTAACATTTTCAAGCACTGAAGCAGAAAAGAAACAGAAAAATTAGTTTTAACCGTAAAGTTACTTTTTTCTGCCCTTTAAATATGACATTTCATGCATTAGCTTTGACATACAGGTGTTTCCAAACTTCTCAATAAAATACAGGTTTTTGAAGTCCTTCCTTTGTGGTCTGCAGACTGGGTCAGTGGTTTCTAATTTCACTTTTATTCAGTAGGATTCTTTTTCTGCGTGCAAAATAATAAAAATCAAACATTTCAAAATTATACAGATTAAAACAAACTATTGCATTAAGACCAAATGAGTGGAAGCAAACAATAAAGCCTGTTTTGTCAATTTTAATCTATATTTAAATGGACAATTAAGATATTTGTTTTACTGTTTAAACAGAAAAAATAAAACAAATTCTAAAATATCATCAGTGTCTGTTAATTGTGGTTAACCATGTTGATACTGTAAAATGATCATAAAGTGAAATATTGGCTCATTTTTTATTTTGAATCCATTTGATATTTGCTCTAAATTTCCAGGTTAAAAAAATAAAAATACACAACTTTAATTTGAGAGGAAATGAGGAGATTGTTTGAAAATTTACTGAAGGCTGTTTCCGTTTTCCAACTGATTCTTTTCTTCTCTGCAAACGGTCAAACGGCTGATTTGCTTTGTCTGTAAATAAGACTTCTAAATTAAAAGTATGTTTGTCTGAATAGAGGTTTAATTTTTGCAACTTTCCAAAGGCTTTTCGTTTCTTGTTAATTACTACAGAAGGTTCATTTAGGCACAATTGCAAAAGGAGTTTCATGTAAATTGTATTTTCTTTGCTCTTGTTGCCGTTTCAAAAGTTGAAGCTCCCTGGTTTCCAGCTCTTATTTCTCTTATTTTACCCTGTCACTGTATCACACACCGGCTCCATTAACATATCAAGCCTTCACAGCTCTAATGTATGTGATTCATGCATTGAGACTCTCCTGCAGGTAATGGCAGGCCCCACGCTGGCGTGGATCCACTCAGGTTCCCTCTGACCGCGTCTTTCAAATGAAATTCTCTGCGTTTCGTCTTATTCTCAACATAAATAGCTGCTTTAAAAGTTGCTTAAAAACCATTCAGAAATGTTGAGAAATATGTGATGAAGGTTTTTCCATGTTTTTTTTTGTAATATTCAGATTTTTCTTAAACAGTAGACACAACCTCTGTCTTATTTTTAAGTCCTTGAACAGCAGCATCTATTTACTGTTATTTTATTCTTGACATCCGGATTTGATTGAGGAAAAACTGGACATTTTTTCCTCTTTTTCAGTTTTTTTTTGTTGTTGTTAAATCTGAATATCCTGAGGAAATGGGTGCATTGATTTTATATTTAGACTGAAAATCTAACAAATATATAAGATATAATCAGACTAATGTGTGTCTGAATCTGAATTTGTGTCAATTTTGTGTTTTAGCAATGAAAATATGCCAAACACTGGCTGATTTTTTTTCCAGATGACCCAGAATAGTTTTGTTAAATAAAATTCTTTGAAAGGAAAAAGAAAATCCAAGTAATTTTTTTCTTTCGTTTTCATCAGATTTGTGATTCTACTGAAGCTTAATCTTTATGAATTTTGGAAATGTTTTTGGGAAAACAAAGCTTTTGTTTGGCACATTTGTGGAAAAAACATTCCCACATGTCTTTGTGCAAATCGTGTTATTTTGCTACGTTCATTTTCAAACAAAATTCACTTTACTGCTGAACTCAAGCCACATTTCAATAAAATAAAGCTAGAAAAATGTCATTTCTGAGTTTTTTTCTAACCTGCTGATTTTTTTAACCAATTTAAATCTTTTCTTTGTAATGTGTAACATAAAAGAAAAAAATTAAAGAATTAAAAGATGATTGATTATTTATAGATGAAAGCATTTGTTGCATTTCATTAATCACAATCAGCTTTATTGGTTAAGATTTTTTACACACAAAAATAAATGTCTTCAGTTATCAAGCACTCGGTGCACATCCATAAAGCGTAAACATAAAACTTTAATCAACATAAAAATTAGGACTAAGGGACAATATGTGTATGTATTTGCAGACATTATTTTATTTTATTTAAAAAAGAAAGAAAGAAATAGAGAAGGATTGTTGTGATTGTGCAAAAGTGTTTTTCTTAGTTTCCCAGAAGAGTTGGTGACTTCACAGGCTGTCAGGTTTTTATTAGGTTTTATTGTCTTCATGGGGAACGGTCTCTGCAGGGCCGCCTGAAGCTAAAAGTCTAAACAGGCTGTGTCTAGAATGTGTGGGATCTGCAGAAATGTTATCTGCCTTTTTCTCGACATAAGAACTGTACAAGGAAGGTCAGTCAAAGCCCAGAAAGATCTCAACACCTCTGCATGTTTTGCAATAATTAGACTCAGTTTATGCTTCAAGGATCGAGTGATGGAATATCATTTTATCTGCTCGGCTCATGTTAGGTTGCATAATGTGTGAGCTAAATAAACCCGAAGCTCCAGGTTGGGATTCAGAACAAGTCAAGGTCGAGGGCAGCGTCATTATTAGCGAAACGGTATTAATAAAAATGATAGACTTTAATCTTCAGAAGATTTTTCTGTATTAAGAAACACTGATAAAAAAAGAAAAACATTTGAGCAAAAGCAGAAAAGTCTGCTGTAGTTGAACTGATCTATTATCTGAGAGGTCATGCACAAAATGACTTTTTGCTGTTTTACATACTGACAGAAAAGCTTAAATTTTGATAAATGGTTTAGAAAGCAACAGAAGGACTTGAACCAATCAGAGCTCAGTTGGCACCTTGGAAACAATCTGAGAAAGTATCGGAGCAGACGGGGTTAAAACAGATCGCCGGGTGTCCTGCACAGGAGACAGACTGGAAATGAAAACACACGCCACCCCTCCGTCCAAAAAAACACACGTGTGTGTGCATTCACACAGGCTTTTTCTGAGATATATGTTCAGGGACGGTTCGAAATCACATTTCCAGAAAACAGAGTGGCTGAGTTCTTTGAGAGCCCCCACGGTGCAGCTGCTTTCCCACCCTGCCACCTGCCTTTTAAACTAATAGTGATTGTATAGACAACTTCCTTTGTAATATGGAGAGGAGAGAGATTAGGATGGATGGATGACACATGGAGACACATCAGCTGTGATTTGCTCATTTAGCCAGTTGGATGTCAGAGTGGGTGTTCATGATCCGCAGAAACAACAGCGCGTTAATGTGCTCTGCATCTCTGAATTACATTATTGCAAATCAATTGTGGGCGTATTACAAGCCTCGTGTTTTCTATTAAGCATCGGCTTTAAATGGCTTTATTGTGGCGCGGCGGTGCTGACCACGTCTGTGGCGCTCCGGGGGCTCGGACTGGATGTGACTGAAAGTGTTCAATCTGTAGATTGCTCGCTGAGGTCATTGTCCCTCAGGTGACCCAAGGTTGGTGCCGTAATTACAAATACGCTGAGAGGCCAATCTGAGTGTTTTCATAATCATAAACAGCCAATAGTTGATGAATCAGTACAAGGACCTGCAGGTTCTTCAGCCATGTGGGCCCACATGACCTTGTCTGCATTTATTACGGCTCTCAGGTTCCGCTCTTAAAATACAAACATATAACAGTAGCTATTATGTGTTTTAATATACAGGTTCCCAACGTGCATTGAAAAACAGCTGAGGTTCGTTTGGCAGATTTTGAAAGGAGCAACCTCTAAGCAATATTTGTTATATTTTTAAATGTTGTGTTTTCTTGAGCTGTAAGCAGAAAATCATCAAAATTAATGGCAATAAAGGGTTTAAAACTTCATTCTTTGTGTGAATAATCTAAAATGTTTCACTTTTTCTAAATTATTGCAAATCTTTTAAATAAAACGGTTCATCCATGAGGCTGAGTGAAGTTGTCCCTCTCACCTTTTTCAAATGAAATGAAGCAGCGACTTCCCCATTCAGCTCCTTCAGACTAGCCGACAGCAATTAGCAAGATGGCATTATACGAGCTACTAATCAGTGAAACTGATTAAAAACAACATTAATATAGGAGTGATGCTGTGATGACTTCCTGAAGGCGGAGTTTCAGACCCAATTTCAAGGCACTAAATTACAAAGTCAAATTTCTTTTCAGTCATATTTGATATAAATAGCATTTATATAACAACTGAAGTTAACAGTTACTTGAATATGCTGGAAAACATTATACTGGCGATTTAAACGACCAACATAACCAGTCCCTGTCTTCTGCGTTTCCCCCACAGAGCTCACGGGCCGGACGCTCGGATCCTGGAGGAGTCCAAGTTGCCCGCGCTGGGGCAGCTGACTCTGCCCCAGATGCTGCAGATCGCCGCCCAGATCGCCTCAGGCATGGTTTACCTGGCGTCGCTGCACTTCGTCCACCGTGACCTGGCCACACGCAACTGTCTGGTGGGAGAAGGCCTGGTGGTGAAAATCGGAGACTTCGGTATGTCCAGAGACATCTACAGCACAGACTACTACCGGGTACGTGTCTGGAGGTCCACCAACATTTTAGCTGGTTCTGTTTATATTTCTTCTGTGTGGTTAAGTGTTTTGTTGGATGGT